CGGGGGCTCATTAGTAGCCATGCCGGCTGCTTCCTGTTGGCCTCTGTCCAGGGATGTATCTATCATCATTTCACAGAGGCCATGGATGCTCAACAGCTGGGCCAGCTTTCAGCCAGCCCCCCAGAGCCAGGTCGCAGCACACCGCCTCCAGGAGACAGGGCTGTGGTCCCCTCGCAGGCAGAGTCCCCACCCGCCCCCGAGCTCCACAGAGCCTGGGGGATGAAGGCAGCCAGGAGCATTCGGGGGCTCATTAGTAGCCATGCCGGCTGCTTCCTGTTGGCCTCTGTCCAGGGATGTATCTATCATCATTTCACAGAGGCCATGGATGCTCAACAGCTGGGCCAGCTTTCAGCCAGCCCCCCAGAGCCAGGTCGCAGCACACCGCCTCCAGGAGACAGGGCTGTGGTCCCCTCGCAGGCAGAGTCCCCACCCGCCCCCGAGCTCCACAGAGCCTGGGGGATGAAGTCTGCCAGGAGCATTTTCGACTGGCACTCGGGGGAAGATGCAGCCCGGCGGTGCCCCACCGCCCCAGGCTCCTGCAGAGCTCCCCTGCTCCTCAGCCAGCTGCGCCCTGGTTGCTCTCCGTACCTGAAGCCTTTGATGGGACACTGTCTGCAGACAGAGCACTTGGTCTGGTGCTTCACCTGCTCGGCAATCGTCACTCTGTGCAGCACAGCCAGCCACACCATGGACTGTGGCTCCAGGTTGACCCATTCCAGGAACTGGATCCCCTCGATCGCAGGCTTCCCGTTGCTCTAGCGGAGAGGAGAGACAGGCACTGATCGCGAGGGGAGATCTCTGCCGGCCAGCCCCCGGGGCAGCTCCTGCTCCGTGCCCCCAGCCCTGCCCCTCTCTCTGCCCTGCCGGCACCAGAGCCAATCCAGAGAAGTCGTGTACGTTGCAGCAGGCTCTCTCCCAGAGCGGCCCTGGCCCCCGTGCCCACTGGACAGACCCCTCGGCGAGGGGAGGAGGACCCATCGTTGCGGAGGCCACTTACGAAGCGGAAGCAGCTGCGGACGCTGGGCTCCACGTTGCTGCCCCCAAACGCCGCCACCTCCCCCAGCTGGCGCGGAACCTGGATGGCCTCGTGCAGCAGGATGCTGAGGTGCCGCTGGTCGCACAGGCCGCCGGGATTCGCCACCTGGCCAAAGAGATCTGCCGGGAGAAGGCCCAGCGCCATGGCAACCAAGGATGAGAGACCCCACCCCACACACGCTCCCCTTGCTGCCATGCAGGTGCGAGCCCCTCCCCCTCCATGACCAGGGACACAGCTTTAATTGGGCCAGAGGAAGGGCAGCGAGAGGGTGGGGATGAAGAGGTTTGGCCCTTTGACCCCGCTGGGCCACAGCTGCCCCTGGGGGAGTGTCTACGCCTGCCCAGCAGCAGAACAGTCCCAGCCGACTGCGTTAGGAGCGGAGGGATTCAGAGAACGAGGGGGAGTCGTGATGCAGATCCGCCGTGCCAGGAGGCTCCCCTCAGGCAGCCCAGAAACTTTACAAAGCCCGAAACCTCCCACTCCTGCTTTGACTAATGGTTCCCGGGAGGCGACTCACACTGGAACTTCTCCTTCACCTCCGTGCCGCACAGGCAGGCAATGCCGGTCTTGAAGGACAGCGCCCGCATCTTCCCGCTGCGACCGCTGAAAAACAGAGAGGCGGGACGCTGAGCCCCTCTCTTCTGTGACGGTCGTTTCCTTAACAGAGCCAGGCAGCGCCTGCTGGGAGGTCAACAGCACCAGCTTCCTCCCGGACACTGCAGTGCCAGCTTCCTCGCCACAAGGCCTTGCCTCGCCCAGCTGAGCCACCGCCCATGGCTGTGGGAGCTGCCTTCCAGCACCGGCCTGGCAATGCCCACACGACTGCCAGGCCAGACTGCTTTGCGGCTCTGCAATGAGTCAAGAAAGCCGAGAGCAGGTACCTATCGAAAACGTTGAGCAGCCAGTTGAGACTCATGTCCACGCAGAGCGGCACGTTGACCAGAATGCCCCTCTCCTCCTCCAGCCGCTCATAGAGGGCAGTCAGGCAGTGGATCACCTCCACCACGTCCATCACACGCTCCATGGGCTGCAGCTCGTGCTCATTAAAGATTTCCAAGGCTGTGGCCAGAGTCACCAGGTCCACTGGGCAGGCCAGAGGCAGAGACCAGGGAAAGGAAACATTCCAGATCAGAGAGGAGGGGGAAAGTGAAGGCATCAGTCCCAAACACACATCATGCGAGAGCCAGCATCTAAGCCACAATGGTACTCACAGCACATGCCGAGGGCCGCAACTTAAGTGTGGCTGCAGATCCATGCAAATCTATATGCAAATGTATGTAAATAGCTTCCTTCACACTGACGGGCATGAATACAAAGATTAAGGCAAGACTGCACAACACACAGGACCCATTTAAGTCAGTTCTGCTGATATTAATAAAATGCAACGTTTCCCCGATGTCCACCCGTCTGACAGCACTTTTACTGAGCAATGACAGTCCGGGAATTGAACTACTGAAACGCAGAGCAAGACGACCATGATATTGATGACTTTTGTGTTTTGGCACCCACCTGCGGCCTCATGTTGACCCCATGTAAACCCAAACCGCACCATGGGCCGCAAACAAATAGGCCGGAGGCCACATGCAGCCCACAATCCGTGTGTTGAGTAGCCCTGATCTAGTTAATCTTAGGTAACCACTAAGATCCCAGCCATGGAAAGATTACAGGGAAATTGTGTCTCACGGTTTTCTATGTGTTTACTCTGGGCATTGGAGAGCCCCATTTTGTGTAGTGCTGTGTGGTGTCCCAACACGCTAGCCACCAGCCACCAGTGGCTTTTTGGGCCATTTTGTG